GACTGCTGGTGGATTCGAACCCCCATAGCCTCTGATGTGTGTCCCATCAGTGTATGAATGTGATCTAAAGCACTGATTAGTCTCATTAGAATGATTTGTTCAATTAGCTTTGTAGAGATCTAGGATAGTGCTGTGTGGATGGATAAATGAGGGCACAGATTGTAGTGTAAATTGCTTTGAGTATCTTGAAATAAGATATAAAGGCACTATATAAGTACAGTCCATTTACCATTGTGCTTGCTCAGGATGGGAGACTGCAACAAAACTAAGATTCAACATGTCTGCTGGATTCCTTAGATAGAGAACTTTACTAATTGGCTTTTCTATGTATGTGAATGTTTCTGTAAAGTGCCCTGAGACAACTTTGTTGTGATTTGGAGCTATATAAATAAACTAAATTGAATTGCATTGAAAAATAAAAATACTTTGTGACCAAAGCTGAAAATGTACAACTGAGCAGAAGAATGGATGGATCTGGATTCAAAAGAGGGAGTTCAAACATTAGATTCTGCTTTGTTTCATTGTTTCCCAGCTGATACACTTGCCTATAAAGTCCAGAATCTCCAGTGGTCACCAGACTTCTTGGGTGCCATCACACTGACCTGGTCTCGTCCCAAAAACCTCCCCCTGAACTCGTGCTACTTTCTCATCTACTACAGGTGGGCTTAGTCTAATTATCAGACATCTATGTCCTCTACATCTGCTCCCCTTCTGCCATGTTAATAAAGTTTAACCACTTGTTTTTTTACCTTTATGTGCTCAGGATGGTGGGCACTCAGCAGTGGACTGTCATGGAGACCCACAGCAACAAAACCAGCTACAAACTGTCTGTGCTGAAACCAGACACCACCTACCACCTGAAGGTGCTCACTCAGTGCCTCAGAAAGCTGCACAAGACCAATGAGATGATCACAGTCAGGACACCCGAGGGATGTAAGTCATGCAAGCTCAACCTTCACTCATCCTTTAATTTAGTACTCATGCTGTCGCATTTTATCTGTCTAGAAATAAAAATGTATCTGAAGTACACATTTATAATTTAACAAACCAAAATACAGTAATAAGCAGGGCTTTTTTGTTTATTTCAGCACATTTTGCTTTGTCATTTTTTATCTCATCCATGGTAAATATATGTTGATGTGTTGTAGTGCCTGATCCTCCCAGGAACCTGCAGCTGACGTGTGATAATGGGGAGGATGGGACAGTAAAGGTTTCCTGGAATCCTCCTGACAACACACATGGTTTGATCAGAGAGTACATTGTGAGTGATTATTACTAAATCATTTAGATAAGGTTTTTGTATTTCACAGACCAACTCCACTGCATTTAGAAATATTCATTCATCCATCCATTATCTTCCACTTATTCTGAAGTCGGGTCACGGGGGCAGCCGTTTGAGCAGGGAGGTCCAGACATCTCTTCCTATATCCACCTCTTCCAGCTCTTCTTGGAGGACTTCAAGGTGTTCCCAGGCCAACCGAGAGACATAGTCTCTCCAGCCTGTCCTGGGTCTTCCCCAGGGTCTCCTCCCAGTCAGACATGCCCGCCCAGGAAGCATCCTTACCAGATTCCTGAACCACCTCGACTGGCTCCTCTCGATGTGGAGGAGCAGCGGTTCTACTCTGAGTCTCTCCCAGATAACTGAACTTCTCACCCTATCTCTAAGGGAGAGTCCAGCTACCCTGCAGAGGAAACTCATTTCATCCTCCTGTATCCACAATCTCGTTCTTTCAGTCACTACTCAGTTTTTGATCATAGGTGACGGTAGGAACGTGGACCGACGGGTAAACAGAGAACTTTGCCTTATAGCTCAGCTCCCTCTTCACTACAATGGACCGACATAGATTCCACAACACTGCAGATGCTGCTCCAATCCATCTGTCAATCTCACGCTCCATTCTTCCCTCACAAAACAAACCCCCGAGATACTTGAACTCCTCCACTTGAGGCTGAACCTCACCCTCAACCTGAAGAGCCTTTTCCGGTTGAGGACCATGGCCTCAGATTTGGAGGTGCTAATTCTCATCCTAGCCACTTCACACTTTGCTGTGAACTGCTCCAGTGAGAGCTGAAGAGCATGGCACCATGACGCCATCAGGACCACATCATCTTCAAAGAGCAGAAATGGAATCCTGAGGCCACCAAACTGGACTCCTTCCACCCCCTGGCTGCACCGAGAAATTCAGTCCATAAAAGTTATGAACAGAATCAGTGACAATGGGCAGCCCTGGTGGAGTCCAACTCCCACCCTGAAGGGGTCCAACTTACTACCGGCAATGAGAACCAAACTCTCGCACCACTTGTTTAGGGACCGAACAGCCCGTATTTAGAAATAGTATTCAAGAATTTGATACGCCTTCAACTGTGTTTGCTTGTTGACAGGTTGAATATAGAGAGGATTTAGGCCTTGACTGGACATCACAAAGGTCCATCAAAAATAGCATGGAAGTCAATGAACTGCAGCCAGACACGCTGTACAAATTCAGGGTAAGACACCGAGGTGCCTTGATAGATTAAAAACTGACAGAATGAGGTACAAAAACACGGGTTGTAGAATTATTTCATACAGTAAATTCTCACTGATGTTTTGCAGGTGGCTGCTGTGACCAGTAGAGGTGTGGGAAACTGGACTGAGGTCAAATCCATCACTCCCAAAAGAGGTAGACTAGTCTTCATCATTGAATGTACATTTTTCAGAGTGGTACAACACTGCCACCAGGTGGTACTAAACATATTTCTACCTTCTTTGGCTCTATAAGCCTCACCTGTAATGCAAAAAATATGAGACTGTGCTTTATAGAAATATGGATTGTCTTGATTTGTTTAATTGTGCATTCTGCTCCACCCAGAGGAGAGATTGGAATTATTTACCATAAAGTTTGGTTTTAAAAGAATGGAAAAGGGTATGCTTCCACAAAATAATTACCCTCTCTCCAGTTGTCATAATAACTGAATTTAAGCTATGACTTGTCAGAAAATTGCAAGCATGAAATCTGGTTTCTAAGTAAAGTGCATTGCAGCATATTTGCTGTGGTTTTTAAGTTCATTTGGACTCAAACCGCTCAGAATCATCAGAAGTATGTGAAAGAAAAAACATACAACTCTGGTTAAAATGAAACAAACTTATTTTAGCATCTCAGAATGTTATTAATATGATAAATGAATAAATTGTGTTGAAAGTTAGGAAAAATTTGAATTTTGTTTCACAGTTTTACCTCTTAATCTTCTTCTTCTTCTTTTGGCTGTTCCCTCTTAAGGGGTCTCCACAGCGAGTCATCGTCCTCCATCTCACTCTGTCCTCTGCATCCTCTGTCCTCACTCCATCAACCTCCATATCCTCTCTAACTGCATCCATATATCTCCTCTTTGTCTTTTTTCCTGGCAGCTGCATTTCTAACATCCTTCTACCAATATACCCACTGTCCCTGCTCTGGACATGTCCAAACCGCTGTCCCTCCTCTGGACATGTCCAAACCATCTCAGTCTGGTCTCTAACTTTATCTCCCAGTTTTTCAACCTGTGCTGTACCTCTGATTATCTCATTCCTCATCTTCTCCATCCTTGTCTCTCCTAAGGAGAACCTCAACATCTTCATTTCTGCCACCTCCAGTTCTTTCTCCTGTCTTTTTGTCCATGTCTCTGTCTCCAGATCATACAACATAGCTGGTCTCACCACTGTCTTGTAAATGTTTCCTTTGACTGTTGCTGACACCCTTTTGTCACAAATCACTCCTAAAATTTTTCTCCATCCATGCCATCCTGCCTGGACTCTCTTCTTCACCTCTTTACCACACTCCCCATTTTTCTGGACAGTGGACCCCAAGTACTTCAAGTCCTCTACCTTTGTGACCTCTGCTCCTTGTAGCCTCACCTCTTCCCTCTCATTCACACACGTACTCTGTCTTACTACAGCTGACTTTCATTCCTCTTCTTTCAAGTAGGGATGCACTGATCCACATTTTTTAACTTCCGATCCGATCCCAATACCTAAATCTGGATATCGGTCTATACTGTCCCGATATCGTCATCATTACTGATTTTATGAGGCTGTAATAATCTTCCCTCAATAGGCAAGTACAATTTGTACAAATATATGCATGTCAAAAAAGGCAACATGAGGTAAGTTTTATGAATTTTGGATAAGTTTCAAAGTTACAATTAAATTCTGCTAACGCAAAACTTTTTTGTTAAATTCCTAGCTTTAAAGTGATTAGATGGCTTCAAACATCTGCTAAGTTCATGGCATAAACCAACACAGACATGTTCCTGTTTTTAGTATTTTATATCGCTTTATAATTTAGCTGTTTTTTTTTCATTTTTTAATATACATAATTTTCTTGTATTTTTCAATTCATATGTTTTTTATGATTGTCTACTGTTGTACTGATAAATATCTCCTGGAGGGTAAACTACATCTTGGTTGCAAGTATCAAGATGCGAAATCCTTCATTTTCTACAACTGATAGCAGTTGGTCATTAATTACGATGAAGTTTAGCAACTTCTCGGTAAACATTTGAGCTCCAGGGCTTCAGTGGTGTGTTATTCTTGTTCAGTCCAGAGAAGGCAGTCAGATTTTGGTCTGCCGCACTCAGTCTGCCCCTCCTCCGAAATGGGCAGACTGAGTGGGGCAGACTGAGCGTGGCTGACCAAAATCAGACTGCCTTCTCCGGACTGAACGACAATAACACATCGCTGAAGCCCTGGAGCTTGAATGTAAAACATAAAACTAACTTTACCTCGGTTTACTGTGGTTCTATGGCTCTGCAGACCTTGCACGTTGCTGTCTTGTTTTGTGGTGTTTCTAGTGTAAAATACTTTCACACAGCGAACATGTTTAGATGAAAAGTTGGTTAGTGGTTAGCCACAGTGCTACTGCAGGTTTTAGCTGGCTGCAAACTATGACATGGGTTTCCTGAATGTGAGGCGGGTCTTATTACTCTGGGCTCATGAGACACGCCTCCGTTCAGGAAATCAATTCCATAGTTTGAAGCCAACTTGCAGAGCAGCTGGCAGGGAATCACGTGGAGACGTTTTACTTGGAGACACAGACATGCATCATGGATCGGAAATCTCTGCAGGTTGGATCGTAAAAATCTGATACGTAAATTATGCTGGAATCAGAGCCCGATACCAATACTGGATTGGATCGGCCCCATCCCTCCTTTCAAGTGCCTCCACCTCTCCAAGTTCTCTTCCATCTGTTCCCTACTCACACCACAGATCACAATATCATCTGCAAACATCATTGTCCACAGGGATTCCTGCCTGACCTCATCTGTTAGTCGATCCATCATCAGAGCAAACAAGAAGGGGCTCAGAGCTGATCCTTGATGCAATCCCATTTCTACCTTGCTAGAACGGGAGCTGGCTGCGGGTCACGGTTCATTGCAGCTAGCTGTTGTTAGCCGGTGGGCCTTAGGCCTCCTCTCGGACCAAGGACCCACCTCCAGCCCACACTGCTCCCCCGGCTCGGACCTCCCTCAGAAGTGGCAACTCACACTATTTAATAAATTAAGGAAACGTGAATTCAGTTTTACCAATTGGTAATTGGGGCAGCTGTGGCTGAGTGATTAGAGCAGTCATCCTCCAATGAGAGTTGGGGGGTTCAAATCCACCAGCAGTCACATGCCAAAATGTCCCTGGGCAAGACACTGAATGCCTTGTTGCCTCCGATGTGTGTCTCATTGGTGTATGAATGTGATAAAGCACTTATTAGTCTCCTTAGAATGAGTTGTTCAATTAGCTTTGTAGAGATCTTATAGAGTGCAGTATGTCTGGGTAAATGAGGCACAGATTGTAGTGTAAAGCACTTTGAGTATCTCAATAAGATAGAAAGGCACTCTATAAGTACAGTCCATTTACCATTTACCAACTGTATTAAAATCAAGGCAGGAAAAGGTTACAGTTTACAGCGCTGGCCAGTCCGGTCTATGATGCGAGCAGGAACCGGAAGGGGTGAATGTCCCATGTCATTACAGATTTATAGGGCCTTGACTCCTCCTTCACAGAA